GTTGTGATAAATATGGCGACAAAGATGAGGACAATAGTCCATATAATGTAAATAATGTACATAATACCTCATCTCAGAAATATAGACAAATATAATAATGTCTTAAAATAATTGTCGGACTTCGTCCATTTATTCCAATATATATATATATATATATATATATATATATATATATATATATATATATATATAGGGTTTGTAGATAAAAAAGTATTGTCGATATTTTAAAAATATATTTTTTTATTTTAGCGTTACACTGATTGTCATTTTATTATAAAAATTACATGATTTTTGTTTGAGGGTTCACCATTTGCTTATAGCTGGGACCCTAACAGGTGCTACCACACCGGGTAAGGGTGGGTCCAGGAACAACAGCAGTTAAGTGGCTGTTCCAAGCTCATAAAAAAACATCCAATCTCTGGATCAGATGCCTTGCTGCCGGATGTAGTTTATCGTCGTATCCAGGAACCCTCCCAATCAGAGGCCTTGCTGTCGGATCATCATACCCAGGATGTTTGGAGTGGGATGCTATGATTGATGACTTATGAGATCATTGTACACGAGACCCCCAAATTTTTACCAAAAAAAATGTAAATATTATTTAATATAGAAAATGAGAGTTAGTGTCAATGTAATACTTGCATATTGGGAATTTTCCAACGACCCACGGGTGGGCTGTGTGGGACTCTGGGTTTTAAAATGAACTCAGGCACTGAACGATACACCCGTGGCGCCGTGGGTAATAAATACTATCTATGATATCCTGGCCACATATACCAAACAGTGTTAAAACATAAAATCGCTTATCCCCAAATTAATTAAGATATAGTGTTGTGGCCCTGGGGTAACAAGGGAATTGACCCTTGGGAGCCAACGTGATTCCAAAATATAATCTCATTTTAACCATGTGGCGGAAAACAAGAAGATTCAGTCAAATCACCCAAGCAACCAACAGTAGTGGGGGGAGTTCATGGAAGAGTTCATGTGAGAGTTTATGGGAGAGTTTATGTGACAGTTTAGTGGAGAATTCATGGGGGAATTCATTGGAGAGTTCATGGAAGAGTTCATGAAGGAGTTCATGGAAGAGTTCAGGGGAGAGTTCATGGAAGAGTTCATGGGAGAGTTTATGGGAGAATTTAGTGGAGAGTTCATGGGAGTGTTCATTGGAGAGTTCATGGAAGAGTTCATGGAAGAGTTCACGGAAGAGTTCATGGGAGAGTTCATGGAAGAGTTCATGCGAGAGTTTATGGGAGAGTTTAGTGGAGAGTTCATGGAAGAGTTCATGGGAGAGTTTATGGGAGAGTTTAGTGGAGAGTTCATGGAAGAGTTCATGTGATAGTTTATGGGAGATTTACTGGAGAATTCATGGGAGAATTCATGGGAGAGATCATGGAAGAGTTCACGGAAGAGTTCATGGGAGAGTTCATGGGAGATTCATGGAAGATTTCATGGGAGAGTTCATGGAAGAGTTCATGGAAGAGTTCAGGGGAGAGTTCATGGAAGAGTTCACGGAAGAGTTCACGGGAGAGTTCATGGAAGAGTTCATGTGATAGTTTATGGGAGATTTAGTGGAGAATTCATGGGAGAATTTATTGGAGAGTTCATGGGAGAGTTCATGGAAGAGTTCATGGGAGAGTTCATGGAAGAGGTCATGTGAGAGTTTATGGGGCAGTTTAGTGGAGAATTCATGGCAGAATTCATTGGCGAATTCATGGAAGAGTTCATGGGAGATTCATGGAAGAGTTCATGGGAGAGTTTAGTGGAGAGTTCATGGAAGAGTTCATGTGAGAGTTTATGGGAGAGTTCAGTGGAGAATTCATTGGTGAGTTCATGGGAGAGTTCAGGGAAGAGTTCATGTGAGATTTTATGGGAAATTTAGTGGAGATTTCATGGAAGAATTCATTGGAGAGTTCATGGGAAAGTTCATGGAAGAGTTCACGAAAGAGTTCATGGGAGATTTGGGGGGGAGTTTTGTGGAGAGTTGACGGAAGAGTTCATGTGAGAGTTTATGTGAGACTTTAGTGGAGAATTCATGGGAGAATTCATTGGTGAGTTCATGGGAGAGTTCAGTGAAGTGTTCATGTGAGAGTTTATGGGAGATTTAGTGGAGAATTCATGGGAGAATTCATTGGAGAATTCATGGGAGAGTTCATGGAAGATTTCATGGAAGAGTTTATGGGAGAGTTTATTGGAGAGTTCAGGGAAGAGTTCATGTGAGAGTTTATGGGAGAGTTTAGTGGAGAATTCATGGAAGAGTTTATGGGTGAGTTTATGGTAGATTTAATGGAGAGTTTATGGAAGAGTTCAAGGAAGTGTTAATGGGAGAGTTCATGGAAGAGTTCATGGGTGAGTTTATGGGAGAGTTCATGGAAGAGTTCATGGGAGAGTTTATGGAAAGTTCATGGAAGAGTTCATGGGAGAGTCCATGGAGTGTTTATGGGAGAATTCATTGGCGAGTTCATGGGAGAGCTCATGGAAGAGTTCATGAGATGTTTCATGGGAGAGTTTATGGGAGAGTTCATGGAAGAGTTCATGTGAGTGTTTATGGGAGAGTTCATCGGAGTGTTCATGGAAGAGTTCATGAGAGAATTTATGGCAGTGTTCATCGATGGTAACTTTCCAACACCCAAATTCAGTTTTATCTCTCTGTAATTTTTTATTTTGTTCTTATCTCAATTTGCTTAAATCCAGTAGATGAGATTAATGGAATTATTGATGTGGACAAAAAATAAATAGAATATATAAAATTGATTGATTGATTCGATTTTTATGGCTTATCAACCCTTTGCTAGTTATTTGGAGAAATAGAAAATACTTTTAGATGACAAGATTGTTATTTTTTGGAGGTAATAATTGTTTAGAGATTCTGGTCTTACGAATTAGCTCATATCATGGGGAAAAGATATAGATTCCTATCTTTACTAAGGGTATTTGTGCTTAAGTGAATTAGAACTCGGTTATCCGATCAACAATTCGGAGTCATTATCCACGATACCACACGTATCAGGTGCTGTGGAACAGAGATATGAATGGACTGACACATGAATAAACTGAGATAGATAGATAGATAGATAGATAGATAGATAGATAGATAGATAGATAGATCTGAAGATATTTAGATAGATAAAGAGATAGATCTGTATGAGCAGACTGAGATAGAGAGAGAGAGAGAGAAAGAAAGACAAAGCTAGCTAGATTAGTGGTTCTCAACCGGGGTCTACATGGACCCTAGGGGTCCATGTAATATTTCCGGGGGTCCACAGGCAAAACTCAATTGTTGTGTTAATTAAAAATAGTAATAATAATTATTATTATAATTATAGTAGAATATTTTATTTGTATTAAATTAGTTTTCATTTAAAAAATAAAGCTTAATCGTATACTATTTCTTTGATAATTAAAACCTTAAAATTTATATTAGTGAAGAATAGAAAATTGTTCTTATGTCCAATAGCTATGAAGGGGTCCACCAAGATAAAAAGAAGGGGAAAGGGGTCCATGGGTAAAAAAAGGTTGAGATCCACTGAGCTAGATAGATAGATAGATAAATAGATAGATATGTGATCGCACTGAGGCCAGTGCAACCGACGGTTGTGGGGGTTGCTGGCAATTTTTGTTCCTAGCCCGGGTGTACGCGCTCGGGTACCCCACCTTTGTTTGACCTTGTGTCGCAACACGTCTTAATGGGGAGACAGAGTAAATACTTAGTAGCAACTGTTTGCAAGTGTGTTAACAACTGCAGCATAGCAATATATATCTTCCTATTAAATTTAGTTTAGTCCTGCCACAAGGCTACAAGCGAGTGTACTACTCTGAAATATTAATAGTCTTTCAGAAACATTGACTAAACTTTACTCCTTGACGAGGAATCAAGCGGTTTGCCACAACCAAAGCGCCACCCTTTCCACAGCAAGCAAGCTTTTATAGAAATGTTTATGTGATGAATGCTGGCGTTTATTGTTGTGCTTGGCAGCCGACAAGTCAGAGAGCGAATCGGAGACGGAATGAATGAGTCATCGTAATTAACCTGACCTGTTCCGACCGCACGATCGCACATGCGCACAGCCATAGAATTCGATAGAATTGCAGGAAAAACATCTCATAATCCCAATAAGAACGAAACAGAACGAAATTCAAACGCTGTTTATTTACTCTTTTAAAAATATGACAGCATTATTTATGTATAGATAACTTATACAAATATATACATCAATAATATATATATATATATATATATAAGCAATATATGTAAGCAAATATATGGATATAGATCCGACAGTATGAAGAAAAATATATACGGAAAAAAAACAAACAAAAATCCTTATATACAATTATGCAGTTTTAATGTTAATATATCAACGTCGGACGTTTCGGTCTAATAAACCATCTTCAGGACATATTCATAAAATATAATTAACATTATCAACTGAATGGATTGCCAACCAAGGCTCAGAGAGACTCCATTCACCCTCCTCTAAGAAAGACTATCCCGCGCCAGATTCCAACCTGGTGTTTAAATGCTTCGCGGTAAAAGGTACTACTTGTACCCACTGCCACTTCCATACATAGAACAGACTTCATACTGGTTCGTAAGAAGTGGCAGAATAGCATTAAGGACTGCCGAGCATACTCATCTTTCTCTTCCGTGGGATCTGACCATCGAATCGTCTCTGCCACAGTTAAACTGAGTTTTAGAGTTTCGAAGAGACCAACTGCGGATCCCATGAAATCTATTGACTGGAAAGCGGTCTACCGTGACAAGAATCTATCATCTCAGTATGCAGTGAATGTGTTTAACAGATTCCAAGAACTCTTTCACTACAACCCAGAGAACTCAGTTAGATTCAAGGAACATAGACCTGATCTATGGAAACTTGATTAAAGCCAACGAGGAGGTGGCTCTATCTACATTCCCCAAAAAACCAAAATCACGAAGAAGTCCAATTAGTTCAGGCATCAAAATCTCAGAAGCTCGAGAAAATCTCAAGAAAACCTCATCGATGTACCCTTGCCACCCTTCTTGCAATAAGAAGAAGTTAACAGCTGCAAAAAAATCCCTCGACCATGCTTATCTTGAAGCTGAAGAAGCTTATATAAATGGGAAAATAACTGATATTTCCCATCTTCATATCAACCAACAACACTTTGCAGCTTGGAAAACTATAAATGAACTAGTGGGAAAGGGATCAAAACCTCCACCAACAATCAAAGGGGGCAGCCGTGAGCAACGGCTTGGTAACTGGCTTTCTCATTTCAAAACCCTCCTTGGTAATCCCACAAGTCTTTCTGATCACGTGTCCCTCCCAAAAGTTAAAATTATTAGTGCTTTGAACATATCAACAGGAGAGTTCACCATTGCAGAGTTGAAATGTGTTCTAATGAAGACAATGAACAAAGCTCTTGGTCCTGACAAGATTCCGGTCATCTTGTGGAAGGACCCTATTTTTCACCAATTACTTCTTGATCTGTGTAATTATGCAAAGGCCAGCCACGTTTCACCAACCATCTGGCTACGATCGCAAATCATCCCCATCCCCAAAAAGGGCGATTTGACATTACCAACCAATTATCGCGGTATTTCGTTGCTTCCTATAGCTGCGAAAATCTATAACAAGCTTCTTCTAAATCGAATTCGCGCTGAAGTTGAACCCATTCTACGCAAAAACCAAAATGGTTTCCGCCCAGGTCGTCCCACTCTTGGACAAATTCTCACATTGCGTAGAATAATTGAGGAAATCACATTCTGCAACAAAACTGCAGCTCTTATCTTTGTAGACTTCAACAAAGCTTTTGACTCAGTCAACCGCGAGACTATGTTTGAAATTCTTGAACTCTATGGTATACCAGTAGAAATCATTGAAGCAATCAAAGTATTGTACACCAACACACAGGCCACTGTCCTGACCCCAGATGGAGAAACAGAATCTTTCTATATTCTGGCTGGCATTCTCCAAGGTGATACACTTGCACCTTTCCTTTTCATCATTGTAATAGACTACATCATGCGTATATCAGTGGATACAATCAAAGAAAATGGTCTGATGTATCAGCCTAAAAGAAGCTCACATCATCGTGCACTTTACATCACCGACGCTGATTTTGCTGATGACATTGCACTGTTGTCTGACAACCTCATTAGTGCCCAAGCACTCCTTTCTTCTCTTGAATCAGCAGCTAACTGTGCAGGTCTTCACCTAAATGAAACCAAAACTGAGTGTATGCCAATTAACATTTGCAACAATCATGAGATCCAAAATCTCTCAGATAACATCGTCAAATGTGTCGAAGACTATAAGTATCTCGGATCACACATCAAGAACTCTGAGAAAGATTTCAACATTATAAAAGGCATAGCATGGATTGCCTGTAACAAAATGGATAAGATCTGGAAATCCAATCTTGCTCGTCAATTCAAAATCCAACTTTTCCGCGTACTTATTGAGCCAATCTTACTCTATGGCTCTGAAACTTGGACTCTCTCAGCAAAACAACAGCGTCGTTTAGATGGATGTTATACACGTCTTTTTTTTTCAGAGTGCTTAATCTCTCATGACGAAACCGCCCAACTCTAGAAATGATATATGGAGACTTGCCAAGAGTATCAACTTTAGTTTGCAAAAGACGTGTCCAGTTCGCCGGGCATTGTGCACGTGCCACAGATGAACTTGTGTCATCATTTGTACTCTGGAGGCACCCATCATCTGACAATCGATCACGGAAGTTAACCTTTCCAGATAGGATAAAACGAGACATATTGATCCCTAAGGAAGATCTTTTAGGTGCTATGACAGATAGGGAATACTGGAGAGGTGTAGTGAGTTCTATCTCGGCTGAGGCCGCAAGATGATGATGATGAGGATGTGTGTGCAGATATGTAGAAAAATAGGAAAGAACTCGTTACGTAAATAATCCGGAGGTATTTAGTATTTTTGTTTTTATTTAAAAAAAAAAAACAGCGCTCTATACAGATGTAGAGCTTAAATTACTCAAGCGAAAATTTAGGAAATTCCTAAATTTTGGCTTGAGGATGAAACAGAGCTTGATACTTTAACTAAATTTAATTTTAATAATTATATTGAGTTTTTCGGCTCTCGTTTTTGAAACATGAGAACTCTTATGTAGCAGGAACCATATTTTTAAAAATAATTATAATATATATATATATATATATATATATATATATATATATATATATATTTATATATATATATATATATATATATATTTCACATAAATAATATTTTTTTACCCATATTTTTTTCCTTAATTATAATATATATATATATATATATATATATATATATATATACATATATATACATATATATATATATATATATATATATATATATATATATATATATATATATATTCACATATAATATATATATATATATATATATATATATATATATATATATATTATTTATGTGAATTTTTTTATGAATACTCCACTAGTTTGCTTTCTAAGAAGATAAAACAAACAAATCAAGAAAAAAAAATCCAAGCCAATGGATTTCAGATACGATTTTCGTTTGCGCCAACACAATGATGATGGCGATAAGCATTATGTTGCCCCAGTTTTACTTGTTAAATTGGCCTCTCCGCTTGCCAAGTATATCAGTATTTGAAATTTTTACTTTTACTTTGAATTTTGTTTCCTGCGAGTGTCAACTTTTCTAAGCTGTCTTTTCTCATTATGTGCCCTGTAAATTTAAACTCTTATTACTGAGGAGTGAGAAAAATAAAAGGAGAATAGACAAGAGGAGAGGAGACAAACATTGAAAGCGCATTTAAATTTTGGAAGATCAAACTTGTCTGGAAAGCGAGAAGCCGGAAGAGAGTTCCACAAGCGAGAAGTGCGCGAAAAGAAATTATTAGCATAAAACGTACGCTTACATCTAGCCAGATCAACTGTAAATTGATGAAACCTTGTTATCAATCTAGTACTGCGTTTAAATTCATAAACCTTAAGTACCATAACGAAAGGCACATCTGAACAATTATCATGAAAGTATTTATTAAAAAGTTACAGGAAAGCAACCTACCTGGGAAAGGGACTGAAGAGACACCATATTGCTGATTCTTCATTGGATTTTATCACTAACTCAGTAAATAGCAGGAGAACCGGGCCATATGTGGCAGCGATATTCTAAGCATGGACGAATGGTAGACTCATAGATATGTAAGATAGATTCTGGAGAGGAAAATTGTCTCGCACAACACAGTGAACCAACTTTCTTAGCAGCTGACCTAGCAATGGATTTAATATAGTCTTTTTACTTCATGTCAGCTGAGAACGCTTGCCCAAGAAGGCACAATATCCTAAGCATGGACGAATGGTAGACTTATAGATATGTAAGATAGATTCTGGAGAGAAAAATTGTCTCACACGACACAGTGAACCAACTTTCTTAGCAGCTGACCTAGCAATGGATTTAATATCGTCTTTTTACTTCATGTCAGCTGAGAACGCTTGCCCAAGAAGGCACAATATCCTAAGCATGGACGAATGGTAGACTTATAGATATGTAAGATAGATTCTGGAGAGAAAAATTGTCTTGCCCGACACAGTGAACCAATTTTCTTGGTAGCAGACCTAGCAATAGATTCTTTCCACTTCATGTCAGCTGAGACCGTTAGAACGAGAAGGGGCAACGAGTTTCCCGTCTGGAGTTTACCATCAACCATACTGATGGAAAGCAGAGAAGAGTCTCAGATAATTAATAAAGTGCCGTTCTGTTTTGAAGGCGTTAAAATTAATAAGCCATCATTTGCCCCAGTTAACAACAGACTGTAGATCATTTATTTATACTAGCCGCTAATTTGACCCCGATTTGTTTTACTATTTAGACATTTCCCAGAAAAAAAACTGTTTGAATAGAAATATTTTATGAATTTTAACTTACAATAGCGCAGGCTGTTCGGTTGAAGAATTGTGAATGTTCATATTACCATTACCACCACCAACTGGGACGAAAATAAACTCATTACAATCTTACTTTGTTTTCGAATTATTCCAAGATGGAGAGATTATTTCTAAATTCATTGATGAACCACATGGAAACCATCAGGTTTCCTTTTTTCCGTTAGTGGATGTGTGGTGGGAGATGCCGGCAAACTTTAGTCATCGAAACAGCCGTTCGGGTCCACACGATATGAAGAATATAACTTCGTCAACAAAATTCGTTGGCCCGTGCCAAAATAGAGCAGTTTGATTTTCCACTTTTTTTCGATAGTCAGCATGGCACTCGCTGTGAAAGCTGCGGTCTGCTGTGATAAGGACTGGCACCAAAAGTTGGATTCATAACTTTTAACCAATTTTGGAGTATTTTAGTTTTTTTGAAAAATGTACAGAAATTCTTAAGTTCCTCAGGTTTTTGCTTACAAACTGACTTCAGAATTTTACTATTCCAAGAATAAATCTAAATAAAATTGATACTTTTCTATTAAATACATTGAATGGGAAATATATTCAAACCACAATTCTATTGAATCACCACAAGGGAAATATGCATTTTTTTTTACTATATTTCATAAGTAAAAACTGTATAAAAATATTGTAAAAGATTACAAAACAAGCTACACGCTGAATAAAACTTGTTAGATCATTTCACAGATCAAAATTAATAAAACCAAAAAATAGATATATATTTATATAACACCATAATACTGCTGGGTACAAATTATAAGACAAAATGTTTTAAATTCGCTTTTTTTGTAATCACGCTAAAACTATTGCACTGTATAACATATTACATACTAACATAGGTAAATTCTTCAGAATACATTCACTTTGAAGTAAATGAAGATTTTATTTAACGGCAAAATTATATCATAAGCTAGCTCAGTCTCCTCATATCTATTTATCTATCTATCTATCTATCTATCTATCTATCTATCTATCTATCTATCTAATCCTGTTCATTATCAATCTATCGATCGATCGATCTATCTATCTCATTCTGTTCCTATCTGTCTTCAGTCTGTTCCTTTCTATCTATCTATCTATCTATCTATCTATCTATCTATCTATCTATCTATCTATCCCAGCCAGTTCATATGTATCTCTGTCTGCTCATATCTATCTATCTATCTATCTATCTATCTATCTATCTATCTATCTATCTATCCATTCTATCTATCTATATCTATCTCCATATATATATATATATATATATATATATATATATATATATATATATATATATATATATATATATATATCAGTCATTTCATATCTATCTATCTATCTCAGTATGGTCATATCTATCTATCTATCTATCTATCTATCTATCTATCTATCTATCTATCTATCTATCCCAGCCAGTTCATATGTATCTCAGTCTGCTCATATCTATCTATCTATCTATCTATCTATCTATCTATCTATCTATCTATCTATCTATCTATCTCAGTCAGTTCATATCTAACTATATCTATCTCCATCTATATATATATATATATATATATATATATATATATATATATATATATATTTATATCAGTCTATCTATCTCATATCTATCTCATATATGGTCATCTATCTATCTATCTATCTATCTATCTATCTATCTATCTATCTATCTATCCCAGCCAGTTCATATGTAACTCCAGTCTGCTCATATCTATCTATCTATCTATCTATCTATCTATCTCAGTCAGTTCATATCTATCTATATCTATCTCCATATATCTATATATATATATATATATATATATATCAGTCTATTCATATCTATCTATCTATCTCAGTATGGTCATATCTATCTATCTATCTATCTATCTATCTATCTATCTATCTATCTATCTATCTATCAATAGTTCATATCTATCTATCTCAGCCAGTTCATATCTATCTATCTATCTATCTATCTATCTATCTATCTATCTATCTATCTATCTATCTATCTATCTCAGCCAGTTCATATGTATCTCAGTCTGCTCACATTCATTCATCTATCTATCTATCTATCTATCTATCTATCTATCTATCTATCTATCTATCTCAGTCAGTTCATATCTATTTATATCTATCTCCATATATATATATCTATATATATATCTATATATATATATATATATATATATATATATATATATATATATCAGTCTATTCATATCTATCATCTATCTATCTCAGTATGGTATATCCATCTGTCTATCTATCTATCTATCTATCTATCTATCTATCTATCTATCTATCTATCTATCTGTCTGTTACCATCTGTCTATCTATATATCTATCTAACCCTGTTCATATCTATCTATCTATCTATCTATCTATCTATCTATCTATCTATCTGTCTGTCTGTCTGTCTGTTCCCATCTGTCTATCTATATATCTATCTAAGCCTGTTCATATCTATCTATCTATCTATCAATCTATCTATCTATCTATCTATCTATCTATTGATAACTGTTTTAAATTTGTATTGTTTTTTGAAAATCACTCTAAAACTGCTACACTGTATAACATATTACATCATAATATAGCTAAATTGTTCAGAATAAATTCCCTTTGAACTAAATGAAGGTCTTATTTGACGGCAAAATGATTTCATAATAATGTCCTTGATGCCATGCATCTTCTCGATATAGAGTTTTGTAAAGTTTCAGAAAGTTATAAAGATATATATATATATATATATATATATATATATATATATATATATATATATATAAGATGGTCTTAATACAGAAAAAAAAAAAATCTTAATATGCAATTATGCTGTATTAATGTTAATAATGGCATATTAAGATTTTTGTTTGTTTTTTTCTGTATTTTTTCAAATCTGTCGGATCTATATCCATATATTTGCTTATATATATATATATAAAATATAGATATCTATACTCGTTTCGAAAACCCTCGAATTTTTGATTTGCCAATTTTCCTGACGATCCGTTTAGGTAGGTTTGTCTGGCTCACTCGGTTTATATATATATATATATATATATATATATATATATATATATATATATATATATATATATATATATATTTAAAGTAAGTTATAAAAATTTCTATAAAGATTTCACTGATCAACGGAATGAAATTCCTTCTCTAAGATTTTTAAACTAAGCTTAATCTTTAAACTGGTTTCCTCAAAAAAAAAAATAGTAAGGATTTAGAAAATAATATTTTGTATCGTTATCTATCATGTGAATGCCCAAATTGAGTGTCACACCAAGGTTTTAAATTCGGCCTGCCCTACAGGCACAACCCTTGTTGAATTATTGATTGCAGAGTCTGCAATCCAAATATTTCAATGCCTTCCGGGCTAAAGGCTGACAATTTCTGACAAACCCTAGAGCAAATTCTTTTTTCTTATTCCCTATGCTTAGAACGCTCTTTAAAAATAATCCAGCTATTAAATACTGATATAAAAATGGTCTACCAAAGCCAGTGGTGGTGACATAGTCCGCTTCCAAATTATATTTCGGGATCGATATAAGTTTCCTCGGAACTTTCTCCATAACTTCATCCCCATCTAAAACTGTGGTTTCGATTCTTATCTTTGAGCTTTATAGGCAAAGTCAGTGAGATCTGGCAAAATGGAAGTTATATTTGTTGTTCTAAAGGAGAGTGGGACGAAATAAGGTTCTTAACCACTTCGGCATTGATTGGAGCCTCGAATTAATTAGCGAAAAGCGGTAAGTGCTAAATAGAGGAATAATTTTAGAGGTCAGAAGTTACTCTAATGTGGTCAAAACGAAAAGATCACAACGAGTGAAAAAGATTAAAAGATAAAATGATTCAGAGATTTAATTGCTAAAGATTTTATTACAGGAATGCATTGAAAATCAGGAAGAAAGGGATTGTCAGTGGTCAGGAATGAAGGCAAGCATTACTGATAGAATATATTATAGAATAGGAAATGCATCGCTTATGATTTTACTATAGAGAAAATGTAAAGGGATTGTGGAAATTACTGATAGAATAGGATTTTTATGTATAGGAATCGCATTGATTTTATCAGGAATTCATTGAAAATCAGGATTGTCAGTGGTCAGAATGAAGGCAAGCATTACTGATAGAAATATTATGTATAATGTAAATGCATGTGATTTTTTAAATAGGAATTCATTGAAAATCAGGAAGAATTTGAGTTGTCAGTGGTCAGGAATGAAGGCAAGCATTACTGATAGAATGGGCTTTGTATAATTTTTATCGGAAATTCATTTACTAAAATTGAAAATCAGGAAGAAAGGGATTGTCAGTGGTCAGGAATGAAGGCAAGCAAGAATATAGAACTTGTCTGCTATGTATTTGAGTGACTATGTATGTATGTGCGGTGCCAAAAATTTATACACATGAATGCGTTTAGTCTCGCTGAAACCTGCTCTCGTCCAGTTGGTTTGTGAGAAAGAAATGTCTCCGTAAAAAAAAAAATAATAATAATGGCCAACTGTCGGGTTCCAGTTCGCCATAATAAGATGATGCTCGCTTGAAGTACCTCTTGAAATTTTCAACTCAACCAGGTGTTCAACTACGAGAAGTTGGCTAACGCCATCTCACCTTTAATGATTGGCGAAAAAAAAAAACAACAGACTAACAGAAGATGGAGAATACTTCAGGTCGTACTGGACAGTGGTCAACATTCGAAATCTCCTAGAACAGCACTCGTCTAACCGATAGTCGATTGGTCTTGCGATAAAATAGTCACGAGTGGAATTGGTAAAGAATGATTATCGGACGGCGTTTGTAAGAGAGTTCTTGAAAAGGTATCCATTCGCGAGAAATATGGCTGACAGGTTCAGAAGTATGTGTTTTAATGGACAGGCGTCCAGGATGGGGTCAATCGCTGTTATAACTTCTGACTTTAGGATAGAAACATTAATGCAAACATATCTTTCTTAAATATTGTTCTTTATTTCTTCTCTCTTCCATTAGAACTTAGGTGATCATGGCTCTCCACAATTTCCTGTCCTTTGCAACTCTTTATAAATGTTGACCATAGATAAGAGAAGAATTAGATAGATAGATAATAAACATATTGAGATAGATAGATAGATAGATAGATAGATAGATAGATAGATAGATAGATATGTAAAAAATTAGATAGATAGATATGAACAAAACAAGATAGATAGATATGAAAAGATAGATAGATACATATGTAAAGTATTAGATAGATAGATATGTGTTTTTTAAATAGATAGATAGATAGATATATAAAGAATCAAATAGATAGATAGATAGATAGATAGATGTGTAAAGAATTAGATATATAGATAGATTAGATAGATAGATAATGAGATAGATAGATAGATAGATATGTAAATAATTAAATAGATAGATAGATAGATAGATATAAAAATTTTCTTATATAAATATAGATAGATAGATAGATAGATAGATATGATTAAATAGATATTTTAAAAGATAGATATTCCTTAGATAGAAATATAGACAGATAAAGATATGTAAAGAAATATCCCAGAAATAGATAGATAGATATATTCTCTATAGATAGATATAATTAATCTCTCTCTCTCTCTCTCTCTCTCTCTCTCTCATTAATTTGAAGGGGTATCTCCGCCTCCCCACCTTCTCCCTCCCTTTATTTATTTTGAAACGAGCTTTTTTACTTCACTCACGAAGAAAGACTTGAAGCACCTGAAAATCGAAGCAGGTGCTTGATCCAAGCCTTCACCTTCTCGACTCATTTCATTGCTCTTTCCAATCTCTGACTGTTTTTGCCATCTGCTTTGGACAACCTTCTCCCCCTCCTCCTACCTCCTCCTCCACCTCCTCCTCCTCCTCCTCCCCACCACCTCCTCCTCCCTCCTCCTTCCCTCCCTCCTCCTTCCTCCTCCTCCTTCCTCCTCCTTCCTCCTCCTCCTCCCTCCTCCTCCTCCTCTGCCTCCTCTGCCTCCTTGTCTTCTTTCTTCCATCCATCTATCCATCCATATTTACTTACTCTCCTTTTCTTCTCTTTCCATTATTTCTTCTTCTTCTTCTTCTTCTTCTTCTTTTATTTCTTTTTTTTTTGTATTTCCTCAAAAGTATAGCCACTGATCTTTGAGGCTAAGGTATATATATATATATATATATATATATATATATATATATATTGAACAATAAAAAAATATTAAAAAATTAAAATCTTCAGACACACTGGGTTTGTAGATTAATATTCTTTCGTTTTTTTTTTATTATTATTTCATTTAGATTCCTATATATATATATATATATATATATATATATATATATATATATATATATATATATAGTACAGTTAATCGATCCGTTGGTATATAATCCGGGTGGATCCTAGTAATATTAATTATTAAAACTGATCCACAGAGAGCAGATATATTTTTTGCAGCAATAAAAAAAAAAAAAACTCAAATTACCTCAACATATTTCAAGCCGTTATGTACGCGGTATCACCAGACCCTAGGGGCTTGAAATAGACTCTCTTCTATGCTGAGGTAATTTTTGTGTTTTTGCTGTAAAATACACACACACATATACACACACACACACACACACACGCTCGCGAATGGATACCTTTTCAAGAACTCTCTTACAAACGCCGTCCGATAATCATTCTTTACCAATTCCTCTCGTGACTATTTTATAGCAAGACCAATCGACTATCGGTTAGTGTGTGTGCGTGTGTGCGTACGTGTGTTAAATTTCTCAGAAGAATTCTAAGACAATTTGGATAAAATGAAGACAATTGGAAAATATTTTGAATTTAATGTGACTAAAAACATTTCGCTTTTAAACTTACCTTGATAAAGACGGATTGACAAAAGAAATATATTCCATTTGTCCTTTTTTATACACACACACAAATATATATATATATATATATATATATATATATATATATATATATAAGTCATGTGTTATTGAAAACTACAGATTCTTTTTCTTTCAATAATCTTCCTTACATTTTTCTTCCTGCTTTCTCGCAAGTTTCTTTGTATTTGGGTTTAATTTATTGAAACAAGACCCGTGAGCATTTTCGGTTGTTGGCAAATTCACATCATGGCTGTAAGTTTTTGGTTTTAACTAAGTTGCTTTTTATTTTTATAGGTAATATTTGGGGGCATTCAGACCGTGTTATTGTATTAGTCCATTAGTGATTTAAGAATGGGTTGGTATTTATTATTTGGAGGATTAGTTATTAAATATATTTAAGATGTTTGCGCCAGTATTAAATCCTATTTTATTTATGTTGGCTTTTTGGTTTTTAATTGTGATGGCTTCGAGAATTTGTAAGCGTTTTTTTGCATTTGTTTTTGTAGAGGATTTTGGTATTGTTGATTAGGATTTTTCCTATTTCGAAGGATTTGAATCTGTTATTAGTGCTATAAGTGTTATGAATAATCAAGAGTGGTTTCTCCTTGTTTTGTTACTCTCCTTTCTGAGAGAGCTATTTCTGTTTACTGGGGCTATAAAATTTACACTATATATTTATTTTTTATTCTCAATCTTTCTTAAAAAACTATGCCTGCGTACTTTTATATATTACAATAAGATTCAATTTTTATGGAACTGGTGTCATTAAGATTTCATGTAAGCCGACGTGAGAGTGTTGTAGTTGTGTGTCCTATATATGTACTAGTTTTATTATATAAGAAACACTCTGGAAACAGGCATGTAAACCTGTACACTACGTTGATTTTATTGAGTAACGGTTTGCTGGGAGTCGTATTATTTCTAACAATTAGGCTTGAGGTTTTAAATTTGGTGTAGTAAATTAATTAGTTTAATTTTTGTTGTTGGACAGGTTTGGTTTATCTGTTTATGGTATTAGTTATTTATAGTTCATTAAGTTTATGGTTGGGGTATTTGATTCCAATAGAATAGTTAATGATGTTATGTTTAGTTGAATTGATGTGATTTTATGAAATGCGTTTCATACACTCTCTGTGATCGTCATTTCAACTATTAATCTTTAAATTTTGAATTTATTTATGATTGCGTATATTCAAGTGTTCTGTGGTAATGGGGAACAATTGTCTATATATTTATATTTATATACATAGACAAACTAAATATGTTAAATTCTATCACTGATTTTTTTAAACTCAATAGATAAAAAACATATATAATATAAAAATAATATATATAATAATAATATATATATATATATATATATATATATATGTGTGTGTGTGTGTGTGTGTGTGTGTGTGTGTGTGTGTGTGTGTGTGTGTAAAAATATATAGAAAATAGGAAAGAACTGGTTAGGTAAATAATCCAAAAGTTCTTTAGTATTTTTGTTATTATTTTCAAAAATTTATAGTGCTCGATACAAACAATA